CATCATCATCAACAGGGCATGATTTGACAACATCATCACAGTAATGGTTTGTCATCATCATCAGGGCGCTGCTCGTCATCACCATCATCAACATCAGGGTACTGCTTGTCATCATCATCAASGCGTATGCCTTCACTCCTGTTCGGCGCTAATATAATCACTATTATCAAGGAGCCGTGCATCAGGGGCGCTGCTCGTCACTCATTGTTGTATCTCCATCGTCAAATATCTCTCCATCATACAACACGGTTGGCAAAGCTTGACGTCATCATAGGACGTTGCGCATCATCATCATCATCATCATATCATCATCATCATCTTTAGGTTATCATCTAAGGTGCTCGTCATCACACTTATCATCATCTAGTAGTCATCATAGGGCGTTGTGCGTCATCATCATCATCATCATCATCATCATCATCATCATCATCATCATCATTGCTGACATCACCATCAACATCATCATTATTATGATCATCATCATCAGTGCGTCATCAATATCATCAACATCATCATCANTCATCATCATCATCATTGCTGACATCACCATCAACATCATCATTATTATGATCATCATCATCAGTGCGTCATCAATATCATCAACATCATCATCATCATCATTATCGGCATCACCATCATCATCGCTATCATCATTATCATCATCATCATCATCATCAGTTGTAATCATAGGGGCTGTTGGTGCTGCTCTTTGGTATGATCATCATCATCATTCCGTTTTCATTCTCATCATTCTCATCATCATCATCATCTTGTTTTCATTAGATGTTGCTCTGCATCAGCAGGTGAGTTGGTTGTCACCATCATTCTCATTATCATCATCTTCAGGGTGTTGTCCATCGTCATCAACAAAATCCAACAAAATCCAAGCAAATGATATTTTGGTAAGTGTGTCATCAATAACTGTAGTCGGCTGGATCGGATTGTTCCCGGAGGGCTGAACGGTGGGAAGGGGGTGAGGGGAGCTCTATCCTGCAGGGGCATCGCAAGGTGGGGGGTGAATGTCTCAAAGAGGGTAGGGGCGAAGTAGGGGGTTGCCTTATCCTGGGGCAAGGACTGTGTGTGGATCAACATCAGTCCCTGCGGAGGCGGAAATGGGCAAGTGGCGGGGGGGCATGCTTTAGGTGGGAACTGCGTGCTACTGGGGAAATGGGGGGAGAGGATTGGTCCTATATTGGGGCCGAGGGAGAGTGGGTGACTCTCCTCGGCGGAGGCAGTGTAGGGCTGAGGGGGGAGGGGTAGGGGGAGGGAGGGGCGATCTCTCTCGGAGAAATCTATCATCCAATTTACTATAGCTTTCCATTTGGTTGCCTCTCGAGGAGGTTGTAGGAATAGGTGTTATCTGACAAGCCATCTGTGATCCTGCGAGGGGTCGTCGAGAAGTCGGTGGCCCTCGAAGACCGATGTTGGAGCAACGCTGGCCGGAGCCGGAGCCGGAGCCAGGTGGCGCAACTCTGTGACCTAGCTTAGTGGGGGCGTGAGGCCTGGTAGATAGCTCTGGGGGGCTGTTTGCGGGGGCAGTCCCAGTGGTCATCGGGGGTCGTAACTGGAGCAATGCGGGCCGGTGTTGGAGCAAGGTGGTGCAACTCTGTAACCTAACCTGATGGGAGCATGAGGCCTGGAAGAGCTTGGTTCGTGCTGAAATTAGCCATGCTGGTGGTGGTCGTAGGTGGATTGAATAGGTTTCACCTATCTGATTTGTGATGGGGCGGCTTTTTGACACACATATTCTATTGACTTGGTAGAGTCTGAAAAAAAAAAGTCAGTTGTTCTTATGAATGTCTTAGGACTTTAGGGTTTCTTAGCAATCCATCGTAGGCGGTTTCGATGCTGTTATACTTAGTGATCCGTGGTCGTTCGATGCCAGAACGACGCTGGCCAGTGCTGGGGTGTTGCCCTGTAACCTGCTGATGCAGGAGCATGAGGCCTGGTAGAGAGATCTGGGGATGCTTTGGGGTGGGCATCCCAAGGGACGACCAAGGGTTGCTGCTGGGATGACGCTGGTTGGAGCTGGGGCTAGTTGTGTTGCCCTGTAACCCAGCAGGGTGGGGGCATGAGGCCTGGAAGAGCTCAGCAGGGAGTAAGACGGTGCTGGAAGTCTTAGAAGGGCTTGTTAGGGATCCTGAGGGTTGTGAGCATTCGTAGGACCTCTGTGGCAGCCTATTGCACAAGTAGTTCCTTAATAGGTCATTAGATATTCACAGACTGATCTCAGCCGAAGCCGGGTAATGGCCCCGGAATCTCAAATGATCTCAAATTTTCTCTAAGATCTGTACAATTCGATATGGGACGCTGGGCCCGGTTCCCAGCACGTGCTGCTCCCTACAAATAGATTGGAGCATTTGTTTGAAAAATAAAAGAAAATAAAATAAATCAAGAGAAAAAAGGAAAACAAAAGGATGGAAAGAAAAAAAAAATCTCCCCTTGTTTTTTTTTGAAATCTGTCGATTTGAGAATTACGGAGGCATCTATCAGATAACAAGCAGTAAAACGGGTCACGGATTTAGGAACAGAAATCACAAAATTTTAAATTCGTGAAAAGAGTTGAAATTCCAGAAAAGAATTTCTCGGAATTATGCCGAGTTTCAGAAAACGGAATTCGTAAGTCTGACGGCCAGGGAGAAAAACTTACGGAATAGCTCAAGTGAAAAAAAATCACGATTTTTGAAAAAAAAAAATTACATCTGAAAAATCCTAATGCCGAAACTTTCTGAATTTCGAGAAATGAGGTAGGTTAGATTAGGGAAATTGTAAACTTCTGGACTTGCCAAGGACCTTGCGAAAAATGAAACCCTAATTCAGATGCGATTCCTCAAAGCCGAAAAACGGTCCTAACCCTAACTTGCTACTTTCGTATTTCCGTGAAATAGCGAAGTGCCGAGCTTTTCGGAATTTCCGAAATTTGCAGAATTCCAGAATTTGCGGAATTTGCAGATTTCGCAGAAGACCGAAATTTTCAGAATTCGCAAAATGCCGAAATTTTTGGGATTTCCGAAATTCGCGGATCGCCGAAAGTGTGAATTTAGGAATTAGTGGTTTGCAACAGGAATGCAAGGAAGATGAGCAATAGCGAACTTCAGAAATCAAACAGCATCGTACACATGAAACTAGATAGTCGTGACCTCGAACCAATAGCAGAATTGCATCACGAGTTTCACCAAATAAGAGCACACCAAAAGCTCATAATTGACAATGCTGGAATAGTCTCATCATCATCAACGAAGAACCAATGTCGATATCCTATCTGGCGCTCGGCGCCCGGACTACAGATGGCAGATCCTATCTAGCCTACTCTACGATGCCGCTGATGACGTCAACAGCTCCCCGAAGTACGAGCAGATCTCGGACAATGCCGTATGCTTCAAGCACCAGGTATGTCCCTCGTATCACTCACAACCTCGTTCCCCAACTCACAGATGCCATATGCACCCAAGGACCACCATGCCCCCCATCCAGCACACAGCAGCGCAGCTCAGCTATGGCTGCCTGCTCCTTCTAGCTCGCCCGTGAGCACGTGAGCCTGACCAGCGTTAGCGCAGCAGCGCCTGCGCAGCATGCAGCCAGTGCCCGAATGTCCATTGCGTGGGCAGGCCCTTTCCTATATGGAAGTGGCCTGCCTACCTTGCGTGCAGCCTGGCTACTCTGGGTCCCTGCCCAAAAGCTTCCGCTAGGCCCAGGGAGGCTGAGCCTCAGTCCAAACGAATCAGGCCCAGGGCCACCGACAGTTACCCGTGCCCAACTGCTCACAGCTTGAGTCGGGCCTACGCGGCGTATCTCGCCCAGGGCCTGACTTAGATACATTTGATAAAGGAGGCCAGGGCCAGGGCGCCTTCAACCAACTGGCGTTGCGCAACTGCCTGAATTTTCCCCAGTTGCGAAGTAGTCCAAAATAGGCCTCTTGTCGTCTGTCGAGCCTGCCTTCACTTAAGGGCGGGCGACCTGTTGCAAATGGGGGCCTGGTAGGGCGTATCGAGGCCTTCTGCCTCGCAGGAAGAAGAAAACTAAAGAAAAATAAATTGCAAAATTTTAATCTGTTAGTTAGTTGTTAATCTTGATTAGGGTTTAATTAGTTCTAATCAAGGTGACAACTTTAGTAAAGTAGAAATTTCCTTTTGCAGAAATTTGACGAATCCTTTTTTTTTTTTTTTTTTTTTTTTTTTTTTTTTTTTTT